CTCTTTTGCATCGTCCGATGTTGTCGATCTGCAGCCTCTAGCGCCTCAAGGATCACCGTGAGGGATCGACCTCCATCTGCGCGACGATCACCATCCACCAGCCAGCTGGGCCTCAGCGCCTACCTTCCTCGCCAATGACCGGGCTCAGATCTGCCCTCAATCTCTCGAGAGCGTCAACGATGGGCGTACTCAGTTTGTCGTCCACAGCTCGTCGGAGCACCTTAGGTTGGAGCGTGCAAGATACAAATCAGGTCAGAAAGTGGTCACCTTGATATTCTGCTGCTGTGCTCGCAACTCCGCGAGTAGTGCAGTCCACTTCCTCTTGCAAGTGGTTTCTGCTCTATCCGCTTCCCTCAGGGCCCCGACCCCCTTCAACAAGTCGGCTGCCAAAGCTCCTGGCAAGTCTACGCTACCCAGAGCCTCACCACGGACGTCTTCACCTTCAGTGTCAGCAACAGTAGGGCGACTTGAGCTCCCATCTACGGACCCATAGAGCATTTTCGACAACGTTGTAATGTCTGATAGGGTATTCTAGAAAAAGGCGCTGTCTACTGTTATCCATACCACTCTTCCCTGAAGTGTCGGAGGAGTCATCGGATACACTGGATGGTAGCAGTCGATTGAAACACTCCCTCTGAGCCGTGAGCTCCTTGATGACAGTCGTGAAGACCTGCTACTGCGATAACAGGTGGGCACCCCATCGCTGCTGCCCCTACTTCTTCCTTCTCACGGACCGATTCCGACAGCTGCATTGGCTTGCTCTTCTTAATGATCAGATTCACCAGGTTATTCTGGATCTACCACACCGGTTGAGGCACCCTTCACAGCATGTGCTCACCCTGGCCACATCCTCCAAGACCCTCCTCTCACGTTCTTCGATCGACATCGTCGTCGTCATATCAAGTCTCAGTAGGGCCTCCATCGACTCAGTGAAAGCTCCATAGGCCCGTACCTATGCCTTAAACGACTGCTTGCCGTGAGTGAGCCGGCAGCGCCCAGTGTGGGGGAAATATGCACATGGTCAACTTCATGTGTTGGCGACAATATGAAAATTTTGAGAGGATTTTCCGGAATTCCTCATTGGTTTTTGTACACTTCTATTCGAATTCGTATGCAAACTGCTGAGCTCAGCTGAGGAAAGCCAACATGTATCCCAACACCGGCAGCACCTGTTCATCTGGGATCGACCCGCGTTCCGACCCGGAACCTCCAGGGCTAGCAGACTCAGGTGTCTCCATCCGTTGTGTGTTCTTCTGTCCATAACCAGGGAGGACCTCATCAGCTTTCTCTAGTTTATGTGCAGACTGTCGCCATCGGGGACGATAGGCGGGTTCGACGCTTTTCGATCGCCGTGGCGACAGCGACCGCTCAGGCGAGGATGGCCATTGCCGACTCCGACGACGAGGCCCCATCGTGGTGGGGGATGCGCTGAGCTGTTCACCACGGTATGAGGATTCCACAAAGTCGCATTTGAACCTACTGCTCGTCTCCTTCGTGGAGGTGTCGGTCTATTCCGTGCAGCTTCCTGTAGAGTGCGTGGCATTTCATCTGCCGCTTTTCTCAACGATGCCGGCGCCACTGCAAGATCGTTCCAACAGTCAATACTGAGTAATGGGAGGTACGTCTGTGAGCGGAGCGAGGAGGGGAATGGACAATGACTGCGGCTGGATGAGGGCTGTCCAGGTCGCTAGAAGATACCTAGGGAAGGGCCGACCTCCTCGTGAGACACCTCCGCCTCCACCTGTTGTGGTTGGGGCCTCTTTCGAGCATCATTGACGTCATGCTGTTCGACGAGGTTCGATCCTCTGGCATCTACTTCGCTGGGTTTACCAGCAGCCGCGTTGAGGCCCGAAACTAACAGGCGTTGACCTCTTGGGTGATTGTTAACAGTAGTATTACCCTCT